GGAACCTTGTAAACTTATATTATCTTATTTCCATCTCCTAGTCTTTGCGAGGCACTCGAATTGCCCCATACGATAGACTGTTTTTCTTAGAGTTGTGGATTGGAATACCGCAGTGAGACTGACTCATCTCTTAATTTTCTTGTAATAAACTCGACTTTTCCCCATATTGTGTTGCTACCGATTGTCAATATGCATCGGGTACATTAGCTACAATAAAGAATGGAATGGTTTGCTTCTCTGGAAATCTGGTGGCCTTTCAATGCAGTCCATACAAGTTGTGCTGTTAGTTAAAGTTGAAATGTGCATTCCAATCACATATCGGCACTCCATCGTAACCGAAACCGGAACCGGAAGTAAGCCGCGTGTCCTCAATCTGACCGAATCACCCGAGGAGTGAGAGCTGCAGCTTGATCCTGTTGCTCGTAATAAAAAAAGGCGTCGTACATATGAAAAATGTCCGCTGAATGCTTAGTTCTTACTGCAATGCTTGGATAGGTGGCCATCCGCGGCACAATCGGTCAGCAAATCAAGCATGTAGACTGCGAATAGCTAGGTCGCTAGGTCGCTAGGTCGATCCAGTGGAGTCCTGCCACTCATAATCTGCTCAGAATTAGAAGACTTGTCGTTGCTTACGAATTAAGGTTTTGATTTGCGTATAATTAATTACGACTTCATATGTACATACAATGCATTCGTTAAAAATAATAAAAAATAAGGTGTTGTTAAGAAAGCCAGCGGGTGTTGTCAACAAAGGTTCCATTTGATTCAGTTTTAGAAATCCCACAACAGTGGATACAACAAGTTGGATAACTACATGGTTCGCGGTGCCGAACATTCGACGTGCGACTCCCACATGTCACCTTCGCACCATTTTACATCGGATTCCTCATCGACTTGTCCTCGGCCGAAACCATTTTGTAGGATGCTGTGTGGATCTGCCTTGCGGGCGGGTGGGGCGGAAGGGATACACCGCCAAGCCAACCGCCACCACAGATCAGATCCGATACGATCAGATAAATTAGGTCATGCCTAGAGCGGCGTGGCCTCCTTATCATAGCACTTTGTTTGTTGTTGTTAATAGTGAATTTTATTGTGGTTGCCGTTGTTTATAGAGCTAAGCTTATTCCTGTTCATATTGTTGGATGTTAGTTAGGTTCGCTTCACTTCTCGTTATTGTTGCTTTTGTTATGTTTGTTGGTGTGGTCGCAGATCTGTGGTTGCTGTTACTAACATTGCGGCCCCGGGTATTAGTTAGCAGTCTTGTTTGGTCCTAAGACGCTGCCGCTGCCGTGGCCAAAACAGACATCGGTTCACTAGAATCAACGTGAATCAACTGCTGCTGCTCCTCCTCGGCGCGCAGCTTGGCGGCCTCCTTCTCCTGCAGCTGAGCCTCCAGCTCCTCGACATTGCGAAAGATGCGGGCGTACTGGAAGCGCTCGTGGCACGCCTGCTGGTAGGAGGCGGCCTCTGCTTCGCAATCGCCAAACACATCGCCGTCCCGCAACGCTGTGTAGATTTTGATGGCCTCCTGCGGAACACAATTCAAATAGCAAGGGTGAACAGTGGCCAATCAATGGATGGGGCAATGGGCTGGCAGTCACTTACCTCCAGCCGGAGCTTTGTCAGGTTGAAGCTAGTGACCAGCTTGATGGCGGCGGCCTTTTTACTATTGTCCAGCTCGTACAGACTGCGGGCACCCTCGTATAAATGCAGTATGGAAGCGTTGTGTTTGGCAATGAACTCGTCATTGAGCTGCTGGGGCGTCTTGCTGCCTATCAGTTCTTTGGTGGCCTTGTCCAGCACCTGTTGTACGTGCTCATTGAACGGTTCCTCCTTCGCGGCGCTGGTCAACGACTTTACGAAGCGAATAATGCAGCTGTGGACTTCGGGGTGCGCGGGGTCGACGGCGCGAGCGCGCCGGATGCACTGCAGCATTAGGAGCAGTTTGTTCTTGCGGTAATACACCTCGAAGGCCAGCAGGTGCGTCTCGATGCGCTCCTTAGCAAGGTGCTGCAGCGGCTTCAAGAAGTCAATGGCCTTCTCCAGCGGATCGTCCGTGCGCTCCAGCTTCTCAGCCACCAGCTCGTCCAACTGCGGAGCATCGGGATCGGTCTCCTGGTTCGCCGGTTGCTTTGACTTCTGGTGCTGCTCGCGCTTCACCTGCGCCTGTGCGGCCTGCGCACTCTCCAGCTCAGCTTTCTTCTTGGCCTTGCGCTGTTTGCTGCGCAGCTTCTTCAGTTCCGAAGGGGGCAGGTTCTCTGCAACCAAGAAAGGTTAGTAACGGTTAGTAAAGGTCTGCTTAGTAAACGAGAAAGGGAACTAGTTGTATAGGGTGCAGTCAACATACCAATGTCAATCTCCTCAATGGTTGTCTCTGACTTAAGCGGCTTGTCGTACAGACGAATGTACACTTCGATGGCGCACTTGGCCGCCTTGAAGTAGAATGGATGCTGGCGTAGAACGTCCTCCAGTCGCAGCAAGCCAACGTAGGCGCGCAGCGTCATTTTACGCATGCAATAGGTGTGAAAATCAAACTGGTCCTCGACGATCTCGGCAAAGTGCCGCTCCACCTCGTGGCACTTCTTCAACGACTCGCCCCAGCGACCCATGCGCTGATAGGCCAGGGCACACTCCGTCTGGAACCACATGCACTGCATCTCATTCAAGTTATCCATGGCGGAGACACCCTCGCGGGTGAACTTCGCGCAGATCTCCTCTGCCTCCTGCACCATGTTGGCGCGCAGCATGTACTTGGCGCACTTTGAATTGATGTAGCTGTGGGAAAATACATTAATGGTTACCATAAGCAAGTCGGCGCAAGGGGCGCTCACTCACCGATCCGCAGTGTCCATGCTCTGGGCTTCCTCCAGCCAGACGTACGCCTCCACAGGATCGCCGGCATGCTTGAAGATACGACCCTTGGTGATGAGCAGCTCAATGAGTGTTGGCGTATGGTCGATCGCCACATTGATGTACTCCAGAGCGCGGTCCGTATCACGCATGTAGTCGTAGTGCTGCGCCAAAAACAGTGCCGTCCACACCAGTGCCGAGGCCGGCTCGACGGGAACCCCGGCGTCGGCGTCATCGCGAGAAAAGTGGCCGGAACGAGTAAGATTCTCGAAATACTGCAGCGCGAGCTCCTCGATGACGGCCGCCTTCTCCGGTACCTGGTGCAGAGTGCGCACGTTGACAAATAGCGGCGGAATGCCCTTACGCAAACCGCGGCGCAGGTACTCGTCGGTTACGACGCGGAACTCGTCGCCGTTGGCGATGTTCAAAGGCAGGCGGCGAGGGCAAAGGGCGCGCGGATACTGCTCCTGGAACACGCGATAGATCGACACGACGGCGCTTGAGTCGGTCACCTGGCGGGCGGCAATGTACTGCTCGTAGTATAGCACGTTCTCCGGATTGCGCCGGATCAGAGACTCAAAGATGGGCACTGCCTTCTCCTGCTGCTGCAGCTTGATGTACAGATCGCCCATGGTCTCGCGAACGGCCAGCTTGTCGACGATCTGGGCCTGGTACTTGGTCAGGTGGTCCACGGCCTGCTGCAGACGATCCGACTCGATGAGTATCTGGTTCTGATAGAGCAGCAGCTCCGAGTGGCGGTAATCGTGCGCCTCCTGCCCGTGGAGCACAAACATGGAACGAGAGAGAAGAAAATGTAGATGAATTGGAATACAAGATGGAAACGGCAGGGAGCCAGGTACATACAATCGACGTCTGCGACTGGCTGAACTCCTCCAGGATGCTGTTGGCCATGTCGTAGTCACGCAGCAGATGGTAGCTCATGGCAAAACCGATCCAGGAAGCGTGCTGCGAGGGACGCAGCATGAACAGGTGGTACCGCGTCTCCTTGTAACCCTCGAGGTCGCGCATTTGGATCTGGAGGAGCGACAGGTCCTTCAGGATCTGCAGGTTGTCCTTCTCCCACTTGAGCGCGTTGCGGTAGCACTTGATGGCCTCGTCGTACTTCTTGTCGCTGCGCTGGAGCAGTCCGTAGACGTGCCAACAAACGTGGGAGCGCAGGTCGTTGCGTAGACCCAGACGCACATACTTGTAGGCCTCCTCGCGGCGCCCCAGTCCGTTCAGGGTGAGCCCCTTCATGGCCAGCGTCTCGCCGTGCTCCGTGTACTTGGGGTTGGATAGGATCTGCTTGGACAGCTTGAGACCATTTTTGTACTGCTTCAGTTCGTAGCATTTCTGTTTGGTACGGAGGACAGAGGAGAAAGGTTTTAGTCAATGTTTCTCGCATCCCGCGCAGTGCCGATTTTGAGGTTATGCGACCAGCGGGCCGAGCACAAACGTCGGCGGTTGAGCAGGGCCTGCGATGGCCCCTGAAGTCGCGCATCTCGAGCAGCGGAGGCATTGCCTCCGGTTTGCTTCTGCCAAAAATAGGCACTCTTCACCTGACTTTGGCGAAAAAGCACATGGATGCCGAAGCCGGCCAAAGGCATGAACGGAGGGAGGGGGCTACACAGTGGAAGTATTGTGGAAAGATGGAGGGGAAGGGATGGGACAGCAGGGGCACCTGCACCGGCTTACAAGTAGTTTGCGGAAGAGCGCACCCTCCTTGGGCGGCAGGGGATCGCTGGAAGGCATCTCTGCAAGGCTGCGGCTGCTCCTCTCTTCGGCCTGCTTCTTCTTCTTCTGCTTGTTCGTTCTTGTTCTTCCTCAGCTGCTGACTGGGACTGGGTTTTCGCCTGGCCGTGAATTGCACCGGACTGCGGGATCTGTGGATCAGCGAGCTGAGCTGAGATGCGATGCCTCTTCTGCTGCTGCTGCTCGGAAGCGGAGCTGGACTCGATTGGCAGACTATATGGAGTAGACACACCACACACAGGGCGAAAACGGCGAACGGCAAACTGCAGGCACGGGCACGAGCAAATTTCTAAATCGACGTGAGACGGCCACACACACGCACACTGGCAAGCTCGACTGTGCACATGCACGCACTGCCGCACGCACACTGTCACACGCGTGCACGCGCGTCACGGTGAATAGCAATGATAATCGCACGCTGTTGCGAATGGGTGTGAACGCGCTCGTTTTGAATCGCGCTGCTTGGCAGTTATGTAAAACGAGTGAATTGTTAATTAAAACATATTTCAAAAGGTCGAAGGCCAGCTAGTTTTATATTTATTTTCGAAATAGATCCTCCCCCGCTTGCTTTGCCATCGAATTTGCTTTTTAATTGCCCAACTTTCGTATTCGAAAATAATAAGCAATGAATTTGCAATTCACCATAAGGCGCATCAGCTGTTGCCTATCGATAGTCCCGTGCGATAGTAAACCGACACAATAGTGAACAAAGTAAAGTGGCAAGAAGAAGTGCACCGGCGGAAGTAACAACATGAATTCTCTGGCCAGGATCGGGGGTTTTGTGTGCCAGTCCGTGCAAATAGCCGGCTGCGGGGTGAGTAAACATCGTAGGACCAACGAGGCAACACTAATACCCAGCCCATTGACCCAACAGCTGCAGCAGGTGCGCACCAAGTACGCCGATTGGAAGATGATTCGCGATGTGAAGCGGCGCAAGTGCGTCAAGGAGAACGCCGTGGAGCGGCTGCGGATCAACTCGCTGCGCAAGAACGACATCCTGCCGCCGGAACTGCGTGAGGTGGCCGACGCCGAAATCGCTGCCTTTCCTCGGGACTCATCGCTCGTCCGGGTGAGGGAACGCTGTGCGCTTACGTCACGGCCGCGCGGAGTCGTCCACAAGTACAGGCTCAGTCGAATCGTGTGGCGCCACCTCGCCGACTACAACAAGCTGTCCGGCGTGCAGCGCGCCATGTGGTAGCGCCTCCTTCTGTTAGCAATCTAGGGAAATAAACCTTGTTAGTAGTCATCCACTTTCTAGAATTTTGTTATCGTTTTGGGTACACAGCTGGGTTTGCACAGCTGACCGTCTATCGATAGCAGTGTTATTGTACGCTGGCGGGGCGAAGTAAATACAAATTTTAGAAGCTATTTTGCTTGAGCGAAAATGTCCCGGAAATCAAAGACAGCAGATAGGCATTCCTCCACTCGCCACAGGACTGAGATCAACCTTATTGACTTCAGTTTCTTGGACTGCAAGGCAGAGCTGTCGGGCCTGCTGCAGGCCAAGAGCCGCCAGGCAGGCAGGAGTCTGGTGGAGGACGAGGCAGACTTCTGGAAGTTCGTGGCCAAGTACGAGGCCATGATGCGCTCCACGGGCCAACCGGTGCTGCCGCAACGGCTCGCGGAGGCGGAGCTGACCAGCGTGCAACCGTATCACCGCAGCAAACACTTGGCACTGCGACTGAACGCTGACGAGCTGCTTCATGAGGCGCACAACGAAAAACAGGCCCAGTTCCGGCATCTTATTCTAGTGTACCTAGACTTCCGCCAGACGGAGAAGTTCCAGCGCATCCGAAAGCTGCGGCAGACACAGCGCAATCTCCCTATTGCTCGCTTCCGACAGGAATTGCGCGAGGCACTGGACACGTCCCGCGTGGTAATCGTGGCCGGTGACACGGGCTGCGGCAAGTCCACACAGGTGCCCCAGTTTCTTTACGACTTTGGCTACCGCAGCATTGGTGAGTTGGCAGCTTTCGCCCCGAGGGTGCCTTATTAATGACCTGTTCCTTTGGTGCCTTAGCTTGCACCCAGCCGCGCCGCTTGGCCTGCGTCTCCCTGTGCAAGCGCGTGGCGCACGAGCTGCTGGACGACTACGGCAGTCGGGTGGCCTTCCAGATTCGCTTCGAGCGCAGCCGGACGCAGCTCACCAACATTATTTTTATCACGGAGGGTCTGTTGCTGCGCCAACTGGCGGTGGCCGCCAACCTAGACCAGTACGACGCCCTCATTTTGGACGAAATCCACGAGCGCAACTTGTTCGGTGACTTCCTACTGGGTGTGACCAAGTGTCTGCTGAGGGCGCGGCCGCAACTGAAGCTGATACTCATGTCTGCTACCATCAACGTGGAGCTCTTCCACGGCTACTTCCGCGAGGAGGGCGCACGGCTGGTGCAGGTTCCGGGTCGCCTCTTTCCCATCAAGCTGCGTTATCTGCCGCCTCCTGCTTTGGAACTAAAAGCGGGCCAGGCGAGGTCGGCATCCAAACGCTCTCAGAGCACTCGCATCGACCCAGCGCCATTTGTCCAGGTGCTCAGCCTTATTGACCAGCAGTATCCGAGTGAGTTTAGCTATAATGTTCTTGTATGTAATAATGTTCTACTAATAAACATCAAATACCCAGCCAGCGAGCGCGGTGACGTGCTTATCTTCGTCAGCGGCGTGAACGAAATCGAATCTGTTGTGGAGGCCGTCCAAGAGTACGCTACGGAGCAGAGTCACTGGCTCGTCCTGCCGCTGCACAGTGGCCAGGCGATCGCGGAGCAGGGCAAGGTATTTGACTACGCACCCGAGGGCATGCGCAAGTGCATTGTGTCCACCAACATAGCCGAAACGTCGCTCACAGTGGACGGCGTGCGGTTCGTGGTCGATTCTGGCAAGGTCAAGGAGATGAGCTATGACGCCACCAGCAAGGGCCAGCGCCTGAAGGAGTTCTGGGTGTCCAAGTCGTCTGCGGATCAGCGCAAGGGTCGTGCTGGCCGCACGGGACCAGGCGTAAGCTAGAACCTAACCCAAGGTAGTTCCATTTCTCATACACTGCCATTTTCTGAGCGCAGGTCTGCTTTCGGCTCTACACCGCGGAGCAATTTAACGCTTTTGAGGCCTATCCCACTCCGGAAATCTACCGCGTGCCGCTCGACACGATGCTGCTGCAGATGGTGTCCATGGGGCTGCCCGATGTCAGGGCCTTTCCCTTTATAGAGGCCCCGGAAACGGAGCGCATTGAGCAGACCATTCTGACGCTTAAGCAACACGTGAGCATGAGACCGATTTTCAATTATGCATACCAAAATACAACCTGGTTTCTAATCTCTAATGGCAGTGCGCCCTCAGCGTGGATGAGAAGTTAACACCATTGGGCAGCTCGCTGGCCAACTTGCCGGTGGAGCTGTCCATCGGCAAGATGTTGCTTATGGGCTGTGTGTTCCCCGAGATGGAGCAGCTGCTGACCCTGGCCGCCATGCTAAGTGTGCAGAACCCGCTGACGAATCGCGCCCACACAGACCAGCGCTGCGTACGCGAGCGGGAGTCGCTGGAGTCTGATCAGGGAGACATCTTCACCCTGGTGCGCCTCTACCGCGAGTGGGTGCAGCTTAAGATGCGGCGCGATGGCACCCGTCAGTGGTGCCGCCGCTTGGGCATCGAGGAGCAGCGATTCTATGAGGTGACCAAGCTGCGTCAACAGTTCCAGCGCATCCTCGAGAGCTGCGGCATGGTGGTAGCCAGCGGTTCGGACTCCCAGCTGACCAGAGCCGAGCGCGCCACGCGGCATGGTGAGCTGCGCCAGCTGAAAGCCATGAAGCGCCGCCAGCGATTTGAGCAACCCCGCCAGCGCAAGTTGCTCAAACAGAGCGCTGGACGGGCAGCCGAGGACGAGGAGGAACGGGATGAGGTACAGGGCGACGACATGCGAGACGTGGATTTCCGGCTGCGGCTCGATCCTCGGCAGCTATCGCTGCTGGAGCGGTCGGCGCGACTTGACCGACACCGCGACGTTGTGCTACTGAAGCTGCTGCTCGGCAGCGGATTCTACCCACAGTTTGCCATCAGCGACGAGTTCAACTACTGCAAGGGTGGTGGCCAGCAGTTCTTCCATACGCGGCTCAAGCCCTTCCTGCTGCAGCATCCCAATTCGCACTTCGCCAAGCACTTCGAGCTGCTCAAGCTGGCCAACAGCGATCTGCTGCCCAAGCCGGACTTCTACACGCCCAAGCATCCGCTCAGCGAGCGCCACCAGTTGCTCTGCTATCAGTGAGTGCGACGCTACTGAATTGTAGCCCCATACTAATCCCACAAAACTACTCCACAGGTCACTGCTTGAGACCGCCAAGCCCTATCTGATCAACTGCATCCGCCTGCCGGCTGCTCAGACGCTATTGCTCTTCAGCTTCGCCATCGACACGAACGCGGGCATCACTCAGATTGCCTGCGACGACTGGCTGGGACTGGATCTGCCCATGCCCGGCAGCGGTATGGAGCTTCTTAGCCGGGCCATTGAGTTGCGCCGACGTTGGAGTAGGCTGCTTTACGCCAAGCTGGACGGTAAGTGCTTCCCAGGAATGTTAGGTATATTTCCACTACTAGGCGGATTTTGTAGTTCTGTAGTTCAGTATTCTTTATTTCTGTATTTCCGTGCTATTATATTCAGCTCATACTCGTAGTAGTGGAACCTCGTAGTGGAACCTGTCGATTGGAGAGGCAAGAGAACTTCCTCACTTAGCGGGCCATTTTTTTATATAAGGAAAGTTCTAGAGGTTTCTAATTGAAACATCGCTTAGATTCATCTTTCGTTCTATTAAGTAACTTTATCTTTAAGTACCTTAGAATACCTATAAAAGATCAGAAAAGCAGTTGAAGTGGCTAAATGCGAAAATCTTTAGTGTCAACGTCATAGGATCTGCTTCGCGTTGAACGGGAATTCATGTTCGCGTCCAGGCAGAATCTACCAGAAGGCTTATCCGACTGGGTTGTATCCGAAGTGCTGACAAAGGTGTTCCAGGCTTCCTTGAACTCCGGCGTATGGGTTCCTTCGTGCGCGCTGTGCCGGCGCCTCTTCTGCGCATCCTCGTGGTAAGCGATGTACGATCGAAGTTCGGCGATCCTCTTCTTTTCCTCTACGACCTTCCGGTTCAGCTGCGCCTCCATCTTGCAAAAGCCCTCCAGCTGGCGTTTGTTCTGCTCCAGCTGTTGCAACTGGCGGTAGAAACCCAGGTTGTCCGATGCCCGCTGGTCCGCCTGGAACTTGCTGATCTTGCGGTAGAGATGCTGGAAGCGCAGGGGATCCTCGAAGTAGTTCGCCACGCAGGTGGGCATGTCGCGGTTGATCTGGATTGTATTCAGCGCCTGGCCGCACAGTAAGCACTTCCTTTCTTGCGAGGATTGGCCCAAACAGGGGCCGCAGATCACGTGCCGGCATTGGGCCAAGTGGAAGGGCACGGTCGGATCAGTTTTGCGATGTCGAAAGCACTTGTTGCAATGCACTCGAAACATATTCAATAATACTGTTTTGTTCTGCGCTTTGGAAGTTTGAATTGTTTTTCTGATATTATGTTATGTTATTATGTCTAACGGTTCGAACTCAGCGGTATGGCCACTCTGCCGGGTGAGAACACTCTCGCCGTGCAATCTGTTTGAATTGTTTTTCTGATATTATGTTATGTTATTATGTCTAATGGTTCGAACTCAGCGGTATGGCCACTCTGCCGGGTGAGAACACTCTCGCCGTGCAATCTGTTCCCAAGAGACTTTTCACCATACTTTTGGGATGTGGTGTATTCAAATTAAGAGATATTTCGCCACAATATTTTAAAGCTTATTCTAAAACCATTAAATGATAGGAAAACATGATTGACTCGTAAAATTTCTTTCGTATTTCCCGTTATGATTATTTCCCGTTGATATGAAATTTACGAAAATTAAGATTGTATTAGGAGTGCGCAGTTACAGAACTTAACTTTAGTAAATGGAGCTTAGTAATTTATGTTTTCCAATTTGCAGATCTCAACAGCAAACAGGAAGCACATTCCCATTCAAGTGATGATAGGAGCAGCGCGCTGTGGCACGATCTTGTGGACTATATGGCGCTGGACGTGGCTTATGCGATTCGCCGACTGCTGCCCGCCGATATCAAGAGGCTCTACTCTCACCAGGCTCCTTCGGCACGACTCGCGAAGCTCAAGGAGAACCCCTTTGCCGTCGACTATCCCATGACTCCGAACGAAGAAAAGGGCGGCCTCAACGTATCGGAGCACGTGGTATACAGCTGCTTGGCCGAACAGAAGTGGACGACGGCCATGGACGCGGCTCTACGGGCAGAGCCATGGCAGTGCACGCGCTGCGACTTCAAGCTCGAGGAGTTCGATGTGCTGGAGCAGCTGGTGCATCGAACCAAATGCAAGGGCCGCAAGGCGCAGGGCCGAAAGTCGAAACCAACTAGCACGGAGATCTCAACGGAGGCAGCCGGGAGCTCAAGCTCCCACTCCTCCGGCGGCTATTACTGCGACACCTGCAACAAGGAGTTGCGGATGACAAATATCGACATCTTGCGCCACAAAAAGCAGTGCCAAAGTAACAAGTAATCGACTAAATAAAAGAAACTAATTATACGAAAACAGACAACAAAGTATATTTGCAAAGCGCTGATTTTTACAAAACAAATTAGCTTTTGTGTCAAGAAACCATCAACGAAAACCCAGGGCGCTTGAAATTGAAAAATCATGACATTCCAGGGACAAAATGTGCATATTTTCCAAATTATTTTTGTAAATCAGCTAAAAAGTAATGTACAGCGTTAGCTTTCTTTAATGGAGGGACCCTTCAGCTACGTTACGATGAAAAAAACCTACCGAAAAATGTTGGCCAGAAGTTATTATTCTGATTTTCCTACCACAAATTTTCCGGTTTTGGAGCAACACAATAGAATTTTCAATTAAAATCAATTATACCCCGTTCAATTGCTTTTGAAGCCACCGGGAATTTCCATTTTAATAAAATTGGTCAAAGAATGAATTTATAGAATAAATTATCCGATATGAAATATCTGATTTGATAGCTATGCCTGTTAGATACACAATAGGTCGATGCTCAAGTTGCTCTGCTTATTTCAACTGAATTGTAATTTGTAAAATTGTCAAGAGTCAAGATTTGAATTTCCACTGACAGCAGAGCTTGCAGAATTCCTCACACTTTTCCTTTGTAGCTTACAAAATAGTGTTTAGCTTAGGATGATGACAAAACGGATTTAGAGATTTGTATTGGATCTGCACCTTAATGTGGCGCTCCTTTCGTCCGTGCTGTTGTTCTCGTCTCAGGACACAGAAGCTACGCTTGTTTATGAAAAGGTCTTTGGCTGTCAAGCTGTCCAATTTTCAGATATAGTTGTGCGCTTCCTCGGCAGGACAGCTCCTTCTGCTTCGCCCGACTGTCTACTTCTTTGGAACTACATTGTTGTTACTGTCGAGTTTTGTGCTTTGCTTCCTCCAGTGTGCTTGTCCGCTTTTCCGCCAAGACAGAAGGATACAACTGAGTTTCCCGACTGTGGGATACCCACTGCTAAATTGTTACAAAATACATTGCGTGCTTAAGTGCGCCAGGACAAGCAATCAAAGGCGAGTATGTTCTGAAATGCGTTGTGTGTTTCAAACAAATATCCATTAAATGCCTTAAAAAGTAGACAGCACTCCGTTTCGCGTTGTGTCCCAGAAGTCCTGGTTCCCTTGGCGGAGGATTCTTGTTCCGGAAACCTAGATTTTTCGTGTAACATGGCTACAGCGACATTTCCGTTAATGCTGGTCAATTATACGAGCATACTCGTACATTCGTGCTGCACATTTCTGCTGAAAAACAGCATGCTCTTGGCCGGTACAAGTAAATGGTGAATTAAGAAACTTTTGGGCAACATTTTGCGATGTCTTATAAAAAAGCGTTGCATGCTTTCGGGCGTGTGCAGCATGTTGTCCTTTGCACACACACACACACACACACAGGCACTGGCTTGTTTAAAAGTTGATTTCAATATAAGTTTTATGTTGCGTAATATTGAAAAGGGCGACAGTGCCCTGGCGGGCATTAACTTTTAAATTTTCTATCATGAATCGGAGTGCTTCGATTAGGCGGACAGCTGTCGACATGCACTGCAGAAAATAGTGAACCAAAATGTGAAAATGTTGTGGCTAAAAGGAAGCGCCGTTCGAGTAAAAAAACACCTGGTTGGTTGGATTCCTTTTATTCATAGTTTATTTCAATATTTTATATGTTAGGCAAATTATGCAAAATTATAAAAAAAACGTATATATAAGAACCCTTCTATCAATTACAGTTAGATTACAATTTATAATTATAATTGTTTTGATTTTGAGCTAATTTGAACAAATTGTTCGCAACGTTACAATATTTTTAGAATTTGTTTCTGTTTCTTTTTCGGGTCTTACAAAATGCCTGTATAGAGCTTTGAATTTCTGAGATATTTATTACAATCATGTTGCGTTTGTCCAAATCCGAAAGCGAACTCTACAAATAATTACTCTGTAAATAACTGCGAATACACAAATATAAAAAAAACGAGCACAATAAAAAATGTAAGGTAACTTATGATTTACGTAATACTTTTGCTTATCTAAAACCAAGTATGGGTTGCGTGCACAGTGTACACTCGTAGTTTCGTTGATTCTCCTAGGAAATCCGCGTCAATTAACGATTTTCTAGGGGCAAGTTTGGGGCGGTACTTTACACGTCTATATCTATTGAAAGCACTGGCTCTTAACTCTCGGATCTTTCTCAGGCCTGCCTGGGGCAACGAACTATATTTTCTTTCGAGTCTTTTCCGAGATCTTTGCTGATCCCTCGAAATAAAGTAGTTTGGCAGTGCCTGAGAGTGCATTTTTATTAAATAAAAACGCATCTGCTTGGGGTTCGCCAGTGCGCTGCAGGAAACTAGGTCTATAATAGATATAAATAATAGGAAAATGCAGACTGATTGGGAATCGTGGTACATTGTGGTGCAGCATGGCAATGAATGGTAGGCGTTGTCTGGACACAACTGCAACTTTACTACTAGGGTAGCGGCATTTGGGTAGCTAGCATTCTGATTTGTCCAATGTTACCCATTGGACTTAACGATGCTTTGCGGGCATATTTGTTCTGATGTATTTCAAATGATGATGGCTGATGAATGCCTAATATGCATTCGTTTGCTTCGTTATTGGTTTGGATGCTAAATGAGTTGGGTGATAATTTGAGGGCGTGTTTTATCGAACATACATTGAAATAAGCCAACGCCTTGCCTATAACTCTTCGTTTCTTCTCAGTGGTAATGGGAGATTGGGGTATATTTAATGCCTAGAATGTCATACGTGAGTCCATGTACATACAAATTTATTTAATATATCTTTATAACTAGTACAATCGTAATTTTAGCTGCGCGCCCTCTCTCTAGACTATATGTATACATAGAAGTTTCAATTCATTGTTTTAATTGCGAATGCAAACTCTTTATCCTACCGCTAAACGCACTTAACAAACTTACCCGCTAGAAATATACTTTTATGTAGTTTAATTCCCGAATCGCGTGGTGGCTTTCGTAAAACTAAAAAAAAAATTAAGGATGCAAGTGGTTCCTTACGCTAGTATAAGTATATATCGTTAATATATATATATATATGTATATATATATATGTGTATCTATTTATATGTAGCCTAATGCGATTAACTGTATGCCTTTACATTTACAATTTTAAAAAATTTGGAAAAAATTATGTGTTTTATTCCTTTTCATTGCGCTTGAACAAACTGTCGTTGATCTGAAAGTTCATTATGTATACTTCTTCATAATAGGATATTTGTTGTTCTAGGGTTCATATAAGTTTAAAATTGTGTGTGTGTTTATATAGATGTATGTCTCTTTATATACGAATAATGCATTTTGTACCGAACTAGCTATAGTCTACACAAAAAAAGGTGGTTTTAAAATTGGGTTTTACGTATATCCGCCTATACGAATTTGGGATTAGATGCTTCTAAAAGCGACTTTATCGCCCTAACGGATTTGAGTCTCTGTCTATTTGCTTTTTAACCATCATCCAACTCGCTGAAGATTACACATTTCTCGTCGCACTTTCCCTTCTTCTGTTGTGTTGCATGTTCATCGATTTAATTACTAAAACCTACATCAGTCGTTTGGCACACAAGTCACGCAGTGGCGTGAGCTACGGAAGAGAATCCTTCCGCCGGCTATTTTTACAAGCCGCAACAGCGGATGTTGACGCTCATGTTGATTTTCATGATGATGTTGATGTTGATGTTGAATTTTGTTGTCGACTGGGGGCTGCACCCCTCCACGCAATAAAGTTATCAGCTCCAGCTCCAGCTCCAGCTTCGGTCCGTCATGGATTCCCCATTCCTCGTCCACTGGATCCGCATCTGCTGCTGCTTGCTGCTGTTAGCAACGACATCACATCACATCGCAACACATCCCATCCCATCCCATCCCATCCCATCCATGGCCATCTTATCCCATGGCCAGCTACCGATGATGGGGATCGCCGTGGGTGCCAAACTAGACCTCGGTGCCGTCCTCGCCCTCGTCGTCAAAGAGCTGGCTGGTGCTGCCCTGGCCGCTGCGCGTCGTCGTCACGGACATCTTCTTCTTGGGCTTCGGTGGTGGGCGTGGTGGGATCTTGGCGGCCTTCGGGGAGTCGCCGCTGCTGCTGGCGTGGCTTGGCGACACGGCAGCACCCGAGCCGGGTGAAAGGTAGGCGGCGTGGCCCAGTCCGGCCCCGCTGATGCTGGAGCCGGGCAGTATCGTGATCCCCTGTTGCCGAACTCCGTACAGGGGTTCCGTGTCCATGGAGCCCAGTCGCTGCTGCTGTTGCTGCTGCTGCTGCTGCTGCTGCTGAATCAGCTCGTGTATGGGCTCGTAAATCTTGCTGGCATTGGTCGCCGAGGACACCGATGTCAGGCTGGGCGTGGCCGGAAGGGGCCGGTCCCGCATCGAGTACTGCAGACCAGTGCCTTGCGAGCCGGCGATCTTGGTCAGATTGAGGGTGGAGTTGCCGCCGGCGGTGGTGCGCAGTCCCAAATTATCGTACACGGGCTCCGCCTGTAGTTCCGCTGTGGTGGCGGTGCCTGTCTCGCTGGGATTCGGTGATGTGGGGCTCTGGAATTCACTTAGCTGAATGGATCCATGGCCAGCGGCACCGGACGTACTGGGCGCCCAGCTGGGGGCGCGTGGCTTGCGCGGAATGGTCATGTATCCCTGCTTCATGACCACGCCCGTGGCCGGCGAGTAGACGACGGGTGCGGGCAGGAAGGGCGATGCGGTGGCCAGCGGATGCTGCTGTTGCTGCTGCTGTTGGTGCTGCTGCTGCTGCTGCTGGTGCTGCTGCAGTTGGTGGTGGTGCTGGTGCTGACGACTGCTGTTAGCGGTGGCGATGAGCGCCAGGTTGCGGGACTTGGGATGCTGCAGCGTCATGAAGCCGTTGTGCGGAGCCGTCATCGTCTTGGTGCCGTAGATGCTGTGCGGCGTCATGTGCGTGTAGACCGGACTGGTGAGCGACGGCGGCGAACGGATGCCGTAGATAACCTGGTCGGGGATGTTCGACTGCGAGGACTGCATCGAGGGCGAGGTGGGCGGCACGCGGGCGGGAAAGGCCAGCAGATCCGGTGGCAGGCTGTTGGCGTACGCATCATCCACGTAGGTGTGTCGAGATCGGGGCGTGGTCGTTGTGTCCGACATGGCCACTGAGACGGCCTCTTCATCGCGCGAGTGATTGGCCACTGGAATGGAGAAGGCGGTGGTATATATTATTAACTTTCCACATCGGTATCTGCCGCATCTGTCATAAATGCTACTCTACCGCGACACATTAGTAATCAGTTGCTATTGGTCACCAACTCCATGGAAACATTTACGCTGTACTTTAATCGCACTCCTTTATGGAGTTCCTGTTGAATACGTTGAATACAGATGATTTCCCTTTGCAATTACATTTCGAACGGATATAGGATATAGTCGCATATATTCGCAGGAGCTGTGTTGCGTGGACAAAGAGGAGGGATTAATTCCGTTTTATTTTTCTACAATGTTTTATGTATGCGGGGGACATTCAATAGTTACATATGTGGCTCGCAAATCCCTCTGCGGCTTAATCCGGCGTCCGCTTCCGTGGCAAATAGTTTTGACAGCCATTTCTTTTGGAAAATAATGATTCTTGGCTAATCCCCCGTCGCCGGGGAAGCGGAGCACACTTGGCACATGTCACTGCTCGTTTGGCCAATCGGACAGGGAACACTGGGCTTAAGTGACACGGGTTCGGGTCAGCTCAACCCAGTCCAGTGCAGTCCATCAATTGCATTCAATTGTCTTTCCCGCTGTCAGTGCAATCCAATTGTCAACGCCAATTGGCTGCTTTCAAACTTGTTTTAGTTTGCTGTATTATTTTATTGAATATCCCCGTGCGGCTGCATGTCACCACAAAAGTGATGGATTATAATACGCCATAACCAAGCCATGATAACACCAACTAAATCAGTTCGAAAACGCTGTATTCCATGCATCCCTACGCCACTAGCTTACAGCTCTAATATACAAGCTGCTCAAATCAGTCGTGGGCACACTAAAGTCCTTCTGCCCATGACCGTATATGCTAACACAAGTATTTGCAACTAGTAAATCTAGATTATGCTGCTGTGACTTTGCCCTACTTATCCCATCACAAAGATATCAAGCCACTTGTTCAGTCTTAACACATCACATTTATGTATGTGCACATATATGATGACTGATGGCTGGCGAATGTGGCACATGAACTGCGAGATTAGCTAATAGATTCATCGCGAATCCACGTGATTTACGGGGCTAATTCGGTTTGACAGCATCGCTTAATATCGCCACGAATGCGACTATGTAGTGCTGGTGTGTTTGCCAAACTTTGTTGGTTCTGTTGGCTTTGTTGGCCTTGTTGGTTGTGTTGGCTCTGCTCTCCCTGATCCCTGATGGTTGATGAGCAATTGGAAATTTAAAGCAAACAAGCGACGGCCTGCCCCAGGAGAACGAAGCCAGGAAAACCATATGGGAAGCCAGGGCAAATGAAATTTCGGTGTTGCCTTTTCCGCGAAAATACAAGTGAGTTTGCATTGCCACCAGAATTGGCGTGGTCATTCCGCTGACAATTGTCCTGGAGGGCCATCCAGATGGAAACTCTGTCCAAATAGAGACGAGCATCCTGTGTTAATAGGCGCCTCGCCTCATTTGCTGCACCGCCGCAATGGTGGCACATAAAATGGGTAATCTAGCTCGTTATTGCGTTATTAAATCGCAAAATTAATAATGAATTAGCAATGAAAAGTAGGTTGGCATGTTCCCCCTTTTTAACCTTGTCATGTTCTTTATTAACATTACACGGCAATATGCCTGTTGTTCTGCTCAACGACAATGGCAATTTATGATTTTTATTGAAAAAGCCAGGCAATAATCACAACTGCTGATTGAAACGACTGGCGAGTAGCAAATGCATTAGGTGTGGAAGAGGTAAATGGAAATGGACCCACACTTTGGGCTTAGTTGGCCACTAAAAACGCACTTTTTACAAATTATAAACATTAATGACGAGATAAAATATGCAATCATGGGCAGCGTGCGGTGTTAGCATTTTGTCTGGCAATAAAAACTTAAATTCTTCTCCCATTGAATGTGCAAATGCAATTCAATATTAAAATAGTTCTGATTGGCAGAGTTTGTCTAGGCAGCCATAATTACCATAGTATAGCCTTTTATTGCATTTTTATTTTTAGAATTGCACGGCATTAAATACCCAGCTTCCTTTTTTCCACCCAATTAATTATAGCAACCATTTTAATTATAGCATTGCCCATTTGGCATGTAAAAATTTGAATAATGTGTTTGAAACATTCGAAGTACTCACCATAGACCGTGTCGTCGAGCAGTGTCTTCTTGATCTCGAGCACGTCGTCGCCGCCATCCACGCTCTCGATGTCCGTGCGCCGCGGTGGCTTCTCGACGGGATTCACCTCGTTGAGCAGGCTCTTCTGCATCTCCATGATGACGGAGCCCTCGAGCATGGAGCCGTTGTGCGTCTTGTCCATCTTGGAGGAGATCAGCCCGTCGCCGCTCATCATGGTGGTGTCCTTCTGGTAGGTCTTGATGCGACGGCAGTACCAGAAGAGCGTCAGCACCGCCACGAGCAGCAGGAGCAGCAGCGTGGTGATGATCAGGCAGATGATGAGGAACATGTTCGTCTGCGGATCAATGGTTGGCGAGCCAATGGCACCCATGCCCATCCCGTCGTTGGCGGAAACGGCGCCGGCATAGTCGCCGCTCACGAGCAGCTGGAACTCGGCCTCCGCACGGCCGCCCCGGTTGTCCGCCACACAGGTGTAGGCGCCCTTGTCGGAGGCCCTAACGCCCACGATGCGCAGCTCCGAGGTGAGCACCTGGGAGGACTGGTCCGGTAGCTGCTCCACGGAGGTGAGGACGCGAACCCGCGGATCGTACTGCTGCAATGGCCGCTTGTTGTACACCCAGGTGACATTGGGACGCGGACTGCCGACGATGCGGCAGGGCAGCGAGATGTTGTCGTGATTGGCCTCGATGAAGGAACGCACGGAGCCCAGGATGCGCGGCCGGCAGGCGAAGTTCTCCGAGGGCACCTCGCTCCACAGCTTGCCGCGCAGCTGGGGCGGCTCCTGGCAATCGGTGGGCGGTGTGTAGAGCCGCTTGCTGATCGCAAAGTCGCGGAAGTCCTGCAGCTCGCAGCTGCAGTTCCAGGCGTTGCCCTGCAGCGACAGATGCATCAGCTTCTGCAGATCCTTGAACGTCTCCTTGTGCAGGTGGGCGAGGCGGTTCTGCTCCAGCGATATGGCACTCAGCGCCATCGTGCCGGCGAAGACGTGCAGCTGCACCTGCCGCAGGCGGTTGTTCCGGAACTCGATGCGCGACAGGTAGCTCAGGTTGACGAACAGGTGGTTGGGCAGCACCTCGATCTCGTTGTTGTTGATGATCACGTTGCGCAGCTTCTCCAGGCCGGCGAACGTGCCCGGATGCAGCTCGCGTATCCGATTGCCCGACATGTCCAGCTCGATGAGGATGTGCAGGCCCTTGAAGGCCTCGCGATGCACCTCCTGGATGGTGCAGTTGCGCAGAAAGATCTTGTGCACATTGGGCAGCCCGGCCAGTAGGAACTCCTCGCGCCGCAGCTCGGGTATTTGATTGTGGGCAAAGTCCAGCACCTGCATCTCGTTGCTCATGTCCTGGGGAATCTTGGTCAGCGCCTTGTTCTTGCAGTCGGCGCTCTTCTTGCCCGAGTTCCACTGGCAGTGGCAGGTGCCGCAGCTCTGCATCCAGTCGGTGGTGCCCGCGGTGGGTGGTGGCAGGGCCATCAGGAGCACCAGCACTCCCAGCAGCAGGAGGATACCCAGTCGTCCGTTTCGTTCCGTTCTGTTGCCCATCATCGCTGCTTGTGGCTCCAAGTCCGTGGCTCTTATGGGTCAGATTTGCCGTGCGTTCTGGTGCGGCTGTATCGGGATTTTGTCGCTAATCCGCGACGACGAGCCGCCGAACACGTGCCAATAGAGGCAGCTTCGCAACTACGAGCTGCGAACGAATCCAAGCTCCGGATTCCGTAACCCGCTGACCCTGGAATGTGGATCCCGGGTCGGTTGGTTAACTGGCCACGCCGCGTGCGCTACGTGCTCCAAACTCCGGCCCTTGGCTGCACGGGTTAATCCTTTTGACGCACTGTTAATTTGATTTCTGCACCCTGCTCCTGCCACTTGTTTTGCCACTCCTCGATCCTTGCGAATGACAAGGTCGTGATTAATTAATGTCCCGGCGGACAGTGTTGGGCTCTAAGCTTCTCCTGCTCTTGCGGCTGCTCTTTCCACCTGAAAGAAATGCGAAAAATGCAGAGAGTTTGTCAATTAATAAAGTGTTCCGAAAAGCGTGGGCTCCACCGGGACATGGACCGAAGGATACGGACACGGATGCGGATGCGGGGATTGGGGATAGCCGGACCCAGGGGTTGTTAACGAGGCAAAAGGTGAGACATTAGCGGCTAGGCCAGCAGGATCTGCCTTATTGGCAAAAGTTTGTTGTGTGTCATCAATGGGATTGGGTAATTAGCGCGATATTCGCAGCTATCGCATAACACAACATATGTATACTTCTATATATACATATATATTTGGTGTATACATATATATGGTTTGGTGTGGTCCCGAAATAAGAGGATTATGTGTTCCATGGCTCGCAGGAGCAGCAAGTTTTATTACAAATTGATTGCATAGCTCCAATTTGCATATATTTGTATACATGCGATGGGTTCAAAGGCTCTGACTTGCAAACTACGCCAAAACTAAATTTGAGCCAAAGAATCATTAATTAAAGATACATTTTCTGGGCATTTAACGCAGCTATATTGCGTTGAATGCTGATTAAACTTTATTTATTATTCTAAACACTCGTATACAGGAATGTTAAATATTCAGCGGAAATGATTAACACTAATGACGCCTTTTTTATATCAAATCATAACGAAATATATAACAGCGGATTATATTGGTACAGTTGCCTATTAAGATAATAATTCCCCTTATCATGCAGTTGTTTTTCACTCTCGAGGCGTTTCTGCGCGCAAATGTGAGTGAATAAATCAAAAGGAAGAATGCGCGCCATAATTAAAAGGGTTTTCGGGTGGAGAAAGTGGATGGAGAAAGTGGTAGGATGCGCAGCAACACGACATGGTCCAACGACTGGGAGCAGGAGGAATCTCCGAAAGAGATTGACAGCGGGACGACAAAGGCAGAAACAAGGACTCAGATTCAGATTCGGATTCGGATTCGGATTCGTCCTCGTCCCCTTAATCTGCCGTTTAGTCCTTTTTCTTTTTGGCCAGCTCTTCAGGTGGCAGAAAAGCAGGGAAGAGCTGAGAAGAGCGGAGAACAGCAGCGGCTTGATTAATGAAAATGTTGTTAAACTGTGACAGTTTGCGGCTTCTAACTGACTTGCGGCATCGCTGCCAAGCTGGCTCGCCCCCCTACTTTTCGCCATCATATTGGGATGAAGATTGGAGAATGTGGAGTGGGGAGTGGGCAGTGGGAAGTGGGAAATGGGAAATGGGAAATGGGTGGCTTTTCTCTTAAGCAAGTGCAAACAAGACACAAAAAATGGTGAGTTTGTGCGGCTGAAGGACCGCCTCTTTAGCATTGAGCCGGGTATTCCGCTTTAATTAAGCGCTATTCGTGACGTCAACACTTCCGATGGCCCCAAAAAAGACGCCACGTGCTCCTGGCTCCCCAGTCGATCCATTTTCGGTGCCATGGCGGCTACGGGACAAATATTGGTTCAACGTGGCTGCACCGCTAAGAAAAACTTTATTTAATACCGAAAGCCTCTCCCCAGGCCACAGAATGTATTTAATATTTAAGAACTTGAAGTTATTTCGAGGAAAGAATCTGCCGCATATTGAGCAAATACTCTGGGCACTAAAAGCCGATTGAATGTTACAGCCTATTCATTTAATGTAGAGTAATTTAATTGAGGCGATTTCAAATACATTTCTATTTCCATCTCCTGAATATCTTGAATATCCCGCATACTATCACTGCCTGTGATGCCTTTATTGCCGGCTTATAATTACAAATATTGGTAAATAAACAGAAAGAAATCTATATATTTGATGTGAGTGTGATACATTTCTAGATGGCCCAGATTGCTTTGCGTTGGGGGTTTGGGTTCGGGTTTGGGTTTGGATTTGGGTTTTCAAGTTGAAGTCTTCAGGAAAATCAAGAGGCGGAGATGAGTGGGCTTTCCATTCGACGATTCGCACATTCGTGTATTCAGTTCAGTTGGGTGAATATACTTTGAGTATGCCCGTGTGTGCTGTTTGCTTTCCTTTTGTTTGTGCACAATTTTGTAATTTTTTTTCTATTTTTTTTATTGTTGTTTTTGCCGCTGCCTGTGTCAGCGGTTTTTTTGCTCGGATAGAAAAAACCTCAAAACAAATTAAATATGCAAATAAAAGAAAAGCGGTGCAATTTTTCGCTTTGTTAAATATTTTCTCAATGGGTTTTCGTTCGTTGTTTTGCCAGCCACTGAGTTCTGGGTGTTCTGGGTACTGGGTACTGGGTGATTGGCCTGGGTTTGGGTTTGGGTTTTAGAAAGCTCCTTCAGTTGGCGAGGATGGCATTTCGTGCGGAGAGTTGCCGGCGAAAAACCGCCAAACTTGGATTAATACCTCAAACTTTTGGAATTGAAATCGCAGCCATTTACAACGAACGCCCCACAAAACTTTTGAGTTACGCTCTGTGTAATATGTGTGGCGCTGTGAAGTTGTGGAGCTGGCAAAACAGCCACCCAACCCAGTAAATCCTTGCCTTTGTCCCCGTCGGCCAATTACCATATTTAGCATACTTGGTTATACGCTTTGCTCGGCGGGATTAGACGAAACTATATGGTATAGTATAGTGTATATGAGTACATCCTGTATTAGCATAATACTGAATTTACTATAACACCAGCGAACGGCAGTCCACGTAGTGACGAAGCGCACCGGTAGAGCGTTAAACGTAGTCTACAATCGCAAATAAGAAATATTAAGATATTTTTGTATGCTTCAACATGACCTTGAGAACACCCTCGATTATTCCAGAGCAGCACAGCAGTCCATTAAGCCTAAAAATGTGAATGCCTTGGCATGCCAAATGTAATCTACTTCCTTAAAAACCAGTTGGGAGCCAAATAAAATCAGAGCTTCTAAATCTAACTCAATCCAACCACGGCAACGTGCTCAAAATGCAAAAATATGATTTCAATTTCATCTTTTCATCACATTTATAAATAAGGCAATACAAATTGATTGTTTTATAAATAACTTAAGTCCGTTTCGTCCCATTCCATCCCATGTCGTTGGTTTCGCGTTCTCGGCTGCAAACTGCCATCGAATTTAACGTTGTCATTTTATTGGCAATTGCGGTTGTAATTGCTATATGGTGGGCAGGCCCCATATTCAAATGATTCGAACTGAAGTGAACCCGAACCGAACTGCTGAGTCCGTGATGAAAGTGTAGGGGCCTGGACTTTGTGTCCGCGGACAGCAAATCGACGGACAGGCGGGCTGGCCATTGTCTATTGCCAGATTAAATCGATTTAAACAAATTTAATTGCTTTGGTTTCGGTTTTCGTTCATTTTATGGCGTCCCATTCACTTTTTCCTGGCTCTATTCCATTTTTTTGTATTTTTTGTATTCTGCTCGCTTTGTTTTCTCGTTTTCCGCTGTTTTCAGTGCTTTCGTTGCGTTCGTTGCTTTCGTTGCTTTTGGAGCTTTCTGTGCTTCTCCTTTTGTCGTATGCCAATTGGCAATGGCATTTTAAGTGTGTCTATGCAACAAAAGTTGCTGAACCGTTGAAAGCGGACAAGAATTCAATTTTTTTTGTTATGCTGTCGTCACAACAATTTGTTACTCAATGAAGCGCATTTATTTTCCTTTTATGATTTGCCCTATTTTTCCGATCCATTCGCGTTAAAGTAACAGTGGCAGTAGCAATAGCAATGTCCACATCAAGGGTTTTTAACCACCCAGCCCCAAAGCTCCGCTCCTTTGCGTATTTTTACATCAGGGTTATTATAATTCTGGTCCGAATGTTGGCATCATAGTGTTTATATCTACATAAGGACTGGCTGTTTTCACAAACAGGCGAAAAATGAAGCACGTTGCACATGCATATCAAGTATAATTCAAAACGAACTTGTTCCTTTGCGATTGTAGTATTTAAATGGTATTACTGTCAGTAACATTACATTTTCATTTAACATTTTGGTATTATAAAAAAGCAAATGGGTTTATATTTGAGATAAACTCATTTTAACTTATACACTTAGCTTGTACAATTTAACTGGTACCATTAGCAGGTAAAATAAGCTAAAGGTAATTACGTTAGGCAACTTGTTGAATTCCAAATAAAGTTTCAATTAAGTCAATGAGTAACACTCGCTGTTAGGGCATCCAAACTTCGGCTCTCCGCAGGCAACGTGCCACTCCTGTCCGTAATTGCTCCGTGAATGCGATTGTTAATCTAGCTTCAATTCAAAGAGCCACCCATAAAAGCATGTGCCCGGTGCTTTGGCGCTTGAAGGGGGACAAAGGAAAACATTTTTATATACATATTAGCTTTTCGTCGCTTTTCCTCGCTTTTCGCCACTGATGGCGACGAACGATGCAAGAACACTTCTTCACATGTGTTTTTGTTTCGCAAAGTTCTATTGGTGTTTGCTCTTTCGCCAGCAAAACTTCTGCACTTCCGCACTCCTGCCAAATATGGTTATTTGTCCTTGTACACGGCGAATTTTTGTGGCCAAGGAGGGCTGCACATCAATTGTTCACAATGCAAATCCATTTAAATTGGAGTTGTATTAAGATATTATACATCATCACCCTAAGATGACCTGAAGCACCAATGCAATATGATTTCAGGGCTAAATTGTACCGTGTACTTGGTGGACATTTCCAATGAAATGGGGTGTTCAGCCTTCTATTTTCCGCGTGTTTTGCGCATAAGTCAGGCTATTTGCGCACAGTGCACTTTAAGCCTATTTGCAAATTACTCTGTGTCGAATTGGTGCCCAAGTGTTGCTCGGTTAGCCGCGCTTCAATGGTCATTGCAATCATTTAGCTGAATGGAAATGGAAGTGGCAGTGGCGGTGGAAATGGAAATAGAAATAGAAATGGTGGGCACGACCGAAATTGCTATCTTCCCGTCGGTCTGCCATTTCTTTTAGTTGGATGCTTTATTAAAAAGCGTACATGTCCAAATGGAAAGTGGGGGAATGGAAAGCGGGGGATATTTGCAAGATGGGAGTTGGTTTTCCATGAAAGGGCGGAATTCA